TATAGCCTCTAGAGTAGAGGTCATGGAGGAGGGAAAGGAGTAATAGCTAGAGTATTCCTCTTGGCTGGAATACTGGCATTTAGGGTTTGTACCCAGCTGGCATAGATTAGCACAACCAGGAAAGTAAGTAAATGTTCTTAAGTACATAAGGCCCAGTATAGAACCTGTCATAGCATCAAGGAACTAAGCTCTATGGGGAGAGACTGTCTGGTTGTCCTCTGATTGTACGGTGCCTAGCACAGTGGGGTCCTGGTACATGCCTGAGGCTCCTAGGTGCCATGATAATACAAATAATAGACAACGATAATAAAGGAACTACAGTTGGCTCCTTTATGGTCCCATCCCTCTCAGCTATGCCCTGTGGACATTAGGCATAGCTGAGATTCTAGGGTGGGATTTTCAAAACTGTGTAAGGGAGCTAGTCAAGGCAATTTTTGGACCCGTTTGTCCTTTTAATCTCTGAACTAAACTACGTCAGTTATATTTGTCTTTTTAACTCCATTAGTTCCATGATAAAGAGGATGCTGGATGGATGACATTAAAAACAGAGTGAAATTAGCTGTGGCCCAAGGCCTTTGATGTTAATGGATTATTCAAACATAATGGGTATCTGGCCTAAAAAGCCAGTAGAAAATTCATCAAAAAATCATTGGGGAATAAAAATGCAAAAGGCAGAGAACCCACTTTCCCGTTTATCCTGAGTGTGTGATGTATCCTTAGTGTGTGGGATGTAGCACAAAGTGGTCTTCCACTGAAACACAAATGAGTATCCTGAGAGCTGAAGAACCCTCCTCTAGAGCATGGTTGTGAGTAGAGTGACCAGATAGCAAGTGTGAAAAATGGGGATGGGGTGGGGGGTAATAGGAGCCCATATAAAAAAAGCCCCAAATATCGAGACTGTCCCTATAAAATTGGGAGATCTGGTCACCCTAGTTGTGAGGGAAGGCTGTACAGGCTCCCTAAAAAGATGGAGATCTATTGTGTTTGTGGTGGGAAAAACAAAGGTATGACTTCAAGCCACAAAGATATTACCTGAATTATTGAGTGAAACAGAATCAGATTCAAACAGACCTTTTCTCTAAGCCTTTTCTACTATAGCTGGTCGAAATGATTTGTTGAAACAATATTTCGATTAAAAATGCCATTTTTGTCAAGTAAAAGTGTTGATTTTTGACAACATATCATTTGGAAAAAACACAAAATGAAGTATTACTGTAATGTCAAAATGTCTCATTTCAACACTAGTGGAACAAAATATTTCATTTTTTCATATCAAAATGACTTTTCAAAACAAAATTGTTTTTTATATAATTTGGAAAACAAGTTAAAAAATTTCAGTGTTGGAAAAAATGTTTTGATTTCCTCATTATGAAACATTTTGATCCACCTAAAACAAAGCAAAAAGTTGGAATTTTGCTTTATAGTAAATTTTGAAATTTTTTTTTGGTTTTGTTCCATTTCAGAATGAAAATTTTTTCTAAATCATGGAATTTCCTGTGAAACTGAAAGTCTATTTCCCACGCAGCTCTAATGTCTACATACATAAATTGTACTATTCTAACTATACAGTTATAGTTAAAGCAGTATATCTTCCATGTGGGAAGGAGAATAAGCTATACTGCTCTAAGGCACCTTTATACTGAAACAACTGCATCCACACTAGTTGTTGTATGGTTGTAAATATTTTAGGGCTGTCAGGCGATTAAAAAACGTAATCGCGATTAATCGCATGTTAAACAATTATAAAATACCATTTATTTAAATATTTTGGATGTTTTCTACATTTTCAAATATATTGATTTCAATTACAACACAGAATACAAAGTGTACAGTGCTCACTTTATATTTATTTTTATTACAATTATTTGCACTGTAAAAAAACAAAAGAAATAGTATTTTTCAATTCACCTCTTTAGCATGAAAGTTGAACTTACAAATGTAGAATTATGTACAAAAAAAACCTGCCTTCAAAAATAAACAATGTAAAATTGTAGAGCCTGCAAGTCCACTCAGTCCTATTTCTTATTCAGCCAAACGCTCAGACAAACACGTTTGGTTACATTTGCAGGAGATAATGTTGCCCGCTTCTTGTTTACAGTGTCACCTGAAAGTGTGAACAGGCATTGGCATAGCACTGTTGTAGCCAGCGTTGCAAGATATTTTCATGCCAGATGTGCTAAAGATTCATATGTCCCTTCATGCTTCAACCACCCTTCCAGAGGATATGCATCCATGATGATGATGGGTTCTGCTCAATAACAATCCAAAGCAGTGCAGACCGACGCATGTTCAGTTTCATTATCTGAGTCAGATGTCACCAGCAGAAGGTTGATTTTCTTTTTTGGTGGTTCAGGTTCTGTAGTTTCTCTTTTAAGACTTGCTCTTTTAAGACTTCTGAAAGCATGCTCCATACCTCGTCCCAATCAGATTTTGGAAGGCACTTCAGACTCTTAAATCTTGGGTTGAGTGCTGTAGCTATCTTTCGAAATCTCACATTGATACCTTCTTCACTTTTTGTCAAATCTGCAGTGAAAGTGTTTTTAAAATGAACAACATGTGGTGGGTATTCATCCAAGACTGCTATAACGTGAAATATATGGCAGAATGCAGGTAAAACAGATGGGGACATACAATTCTCCCCCGAGGAGTTCAGTCACAAATTTAATTAACACATTATTTTTTTAATGAGCATCATCAGCATGGAAGCATGTCCTCTGGAATGATGATCGAAGCACAAAGGGGCATACGAATGTTTAGCATATCTGGCACATAAATACCTTGCAATGCTGGCTACAAAAGTGCCATGCAAATGCCTGTTCTCACTTTTAGGTGACATTGTAAATAAGAAGAGGGCAGCATTATCTCCTGTAAATGTAAACATACTTGTTTGTCTTAGTGATTGGCTGAACAAGAAGTAGGACTGAGTGGACTTGTAGGCTCTGAAGTTTTAAATTGTTTTGTTTTTGAATGCAGTTATGTAACAAAAAAAATCTACATTTGTGAGTTGCATTTTCACGAAAAAGAGATGGCACTACAGTACTTGTATGAGGTGAATTGAAAAATACTGTTTTTCATTTTTACAGTGCAAATATGTGTAATCAAAAATAATATACACTTTGATTTCAGTTACAACACAGAATACAATATATATGAAAATATAGAAAAACATCCAAAATATTTAATAACTTTCAAGTAGTATTCTATTGTTTGACAGAGTGATTAAAACTGTGATTAATCACTATTAAAAAAATTAATCGCAATTAATTTTTTGAGTTAATCGCATGAGTTAACTGCGATTAATCGACAGCCCTAAAATATTGATGTAAAAAATCACACCCCCTAACCAAAATTGTGATACCGGTATAAAATCTGTGTGTAGACCAGACTGAAGTCTCTAATTTAGCCTAAGAATTAAAGGGTTGGTTTTCATAAATGCCTAAATTGCACCCATCACAATATCAGCTCTCCCTGGTTATTTAAATCATTCATCACAGATGAAACTGTCTGGAAGGCCTCAGAAATTTATTTCTTTACAGAAATTAACTGTTAAGAGAGCCATAAGTAAAATCATGCAAATACATAACCACAGGAATACATGCAAGCATTGAAAATGGTCCATTAGTGCACGGTTTGTAAAATGAGAGAGAGAGAGAGAGACATACACACACAGGTTTAGGAACAGCCTTGCTCCCTGATCAGTCAGTGGAGGTGAGGCACTTGCACATCAGGAATGTGCTAATTGCTGTGTAGGTGCCTCCTATTACCTCGACCACACAAAGTTTCTTGCCCTCTCTCAGGCAAAGTGGACAGTACTGTTACAGTTTACTAGGGGAAATGGTAATCCCAGGAACCAAAGGACAGATTACTTGCAGGACCCTGTTGAAATCTGCCTCTTGCTGCAGTTACTCATCTTAAAGCAAACCTAGCAGTTGGATAATTGGTTTGTACCATCACAAAAATTTAGCATGCTGCCACACTTCCCTGTAAGCCCAGTATACTTTACTGACATTGGACCCAAATCCTCTTCCTTTAAAGTCACTGTGACTTTCACCATGGCTTTAAAATGGCCAGGACTGAGACTATGGTATCTTCTTAAATTTCTTGCCAACTTCTGAACCTTCACAAATTCTAAGAGTTCCTGGGACTAACCATTTTAATTGTGTATTGCTGCATTTGTATGACAAAACAGACAGCTCCTAACAAAAAGTTATTTTGTAACTTTCAATTATTTTTTAATCCTATATTAGAATGAAAGCTGTTTTTATAACTCTGGCCTCTTCTGTTGCTGGCCTGGTTTCATTGCTGTGTGATAGATGTGTTATTAATGGAAGAGGATTCTGCATATTTTAAAGTACACACTGTTTGGATCATCTGATGCCCAGCCTTTAAACCAAACAGGACAAAATGCCAAAGCCAGATATATTTTCATAGCGAAAAATCTTCAAATTTCAGAGAAAAATATTCACTTTAACCAAAATAAAACAAACAAACCGAAAGAAAGAATCCTTAGCATCTAATCAAGTAGTCTATTAGTTATTAGAAAGGCCTACATTTTATATATATGTATTTGTATGGCAGTCTCTAGTTATTACTGTGTAACTTATTTTCTGAATTAATAGTATCGTTATTATTAGCTCTCCCTTGTGGAAGATTGGAATTTGCACAGAAAAGTAGTTAGCAATGCACACAAACATTCATTTATTTCAATATCAGAGCAGAAACAATTTACATTGATTCTTTTTGTTTGAAATACATTCAATTTACAATGATGCATTAAGCAAGTAAGATTAATTTTAAAAAATACCTTGATAAAATATATTCAGATTGTTTCTTAGCATTTAGGAATAAACAGTCTGTTTCCCAGTATTTAAAGAGGTATTAGTTGTATGTAGTTTGGGGAAGGGAAGGAAAGAAGAAATGATGAGCCACAGAAAACATTTTCAAAAATAAGGAAATCCTGGTTGTAGAAAGAGGTAGATTTTAGGCTTTGCTTTACTTACCTGACAGTTCAGCCTTAAGGGAATGTAATGCCGATCATAGCAAGCTGTTCCATTTCTCTCTCGTTCTCCCCTTGGGGATACATTGACAATGGAAATGTAGCAGAACAGCTTTTGCTTACTAAGCATTTTTTCAAAATCTCAGATAAGCAGCTTTTTTTTTTAACCTTTGTATATTTTTGTTCCACGTGTTAAACATTTGACTGTAATTTGAGTGTTTCAGGAAAATGAGTGGCATTCCTTGAAATGTGTACCTCTACTGGTTTATAAAAATCTAATTCCCACAATTACCCTGTCGCAAGCTCTGTAGAGGGTGATATCCGTTTAATGTATGCAGCCAAACAAGATGCACAGTATTAATTTCAGAAAATAGAGGAAAGACGTTAAATATGTTGTGTGAGATTTTGTATATTTGCAGATGAGATTTAATTTTCTAAAATCATTTTAGTCATAAAACAACCGACAACACTTCAGTGGCTGCATTGACCTCCGTGATGTCAGAATGTCGTGCAACTGTAGCTAAGAAAAGCCTCTGAGGAAAAAACAAAGGAGCATTGCATCTCATCATAACATAAGGTGTGCACATACAGTACGTAGAATTCATACTGTGGTAGTGAGTTGTTGCTTTCAGTTTGATTAGACAATCGTTGTTTTGTTTTTCTTGCTTTGACAGTGAGTAAGGTTGTATGCTGCTTAAGTCTTCTTAGCGTTATTTAGGTCAGCATACTTATGATGGCTTTCATGGTCTGTAGTGTCTAATATATACAGTATGCAAAGGAAATCAGCATTACATTTTTGTATATTCTCTCTTTTATTTTATTACTTCTAAGGGTGGAAGAACATGTTGTAATTAATCGAAATTCTAAACAACAAAGTATCTGCCATTTCTGCATTGCAGATATATTTAGCTTGAACACTGCTTGTGGTTAACAGTGTGTAGCATAGACACAGACAGCTGATCGTGCAGTCAGACTCTGTGCTCTTGTGGTTTTGTCAATACTGCTCAGAATTTTGATAAGCTTTTAAAAAAAGAAGTGCTGTATGTTGCATCAAAATTAAATCTTTAGCATTGATGGGTATTTTTTCTGGTATTGTCTCTTATTAATTAAATAAAATATTCTTAGACTAAAAAATTGAGAGCATAGCAAATGCATCCAGAACCTAATACATACTGTATGAAATCTTTCTTCATCCAGAGTCTGCTTACTGAAGAAGTGCTGGAATGGCTACAATAAGATAAAGATTGGTTTATTTTCCTCAGCAGAAGGATGCAGTCACTGTAGAGGCAGGTTTTGATAAGAGTTTGAAATACCTACTACTGTATTATTGCAGAATTTGGAGTTTTCTGAACGCTGTTTAGTGACTGGAGCTCATCTTGCATCACCAGTTGATGACATTTTTCTTTGTTCCCTCCCACGCAGTTGAACCAAGACTGTAGCTGATGTGCAGTGTCACTTACAACCTTAATCAGATACTGCATTTAAGGTGAGCTGTCCCTTGCCTCCACCCTTACCAGAGCCGTGCTGCAGTATGTATCTTACTCCTACAAGCCTAAAATGGCAGGCAGGATTAACGTTGCTTGTGCTGTGTGCATGCTGTGTATAGAATTCATAATACCATGCCTATTATTTCAAATGTGAGTACGTAAATGCTCTGTGTACCATATCATGCGGTAGTGAAGACTTGTTTGTGCTTCATTACAGGCTTAGATATTTAAGCATCACCTTTGGAATTCTCTTTCATTTGCAGTGTAGCGAGCTGTTAGCTTGTCATCACATTCAAAATACAGTATTAGCCCTTAAAAAAAAAAAAAAGCAAATTCTGCTTCCAGATGCTGTCACCCTTTTTCTTCTTGCATTTACTGTAGTTTAAATAATGTATGTTGTATTGTTAATTAATGTGAATATCAAATTAAAGCACTTGAAACATACATATTTATAATGCAGGTAGGAGGCACGTCAAATCTATTTTTAACTCTTACGCAGTCCACGTTGTGCAATGGGCTTTGGGTGTGGAGTTTATATTTTCAGCAGTGATATCAATAGGCTGATTTTCAGCAAATGTGACAAGTGGCCTTTGCAGTGGTCAGCTTTACTCTTTGAACCCTCTCAGGGTGTGGGGAGAGACAACATTGTGTTGCAGTTTCAGAAAACCTTGGATGTGGACATCTTTTTTTTTTTTTTTTTCCCCCACTCCTGCTTTACCTATTGATAAATTCAGTTTTCATGATCACAGTCTATTCAAGCTGCTTCCCATCTGATTTTTGACAACTGCTTCTAAAAATTTATCAGGAAGACCGAGAATTCAGTTGATCTCCATCGCTTTACATAAAAATGGCTGGGTATATTGCCATGTTAACACTGCATTAGGAGGTACACACAGGTAGGTTGAGATTTGCATGTTTTGTAGATTTCTCATTCAGTGCTGCAAAGAGATAAAGTGAGTTTTAAAATGTAGCTTTCAGTGTAAAAATGTATTGAACAGTTAATTAAAAAAACAACAACCTAATACTAAACTGTATGGCTTCACATATTGGCATGACGATTGTTTTCACCTGATAAAAGAATCTATTGTGAAAGTGAAGCAATCATGTCTGTTAAAATAATCATATGTAATAAGGGCGTGGCAACGTTTATGCAACAAAAGAATTTTTGAAAAGCCTATTAATTCAGTTACATTTTAAAATCTATTTTGAAAATTATTGAATTCGTAGTTAAAATGCAAAAGTAAAAGTTAAGGTGGGTAAGAAAAATAAAAAATATTTAAATTTTACCATAGAAAGCGGTCTTTCAACGTGCTCTGTGAAAGCTTAAATAAAGATTAATTTGCTTTGTTACAGATATTTTTCTATATCAGGTACCAGAAAAAAAAACCTACAGTATTTCTTTTTATTTTAATGTATAAGGTTTTTAGAGATAGATATAGATGGCCCTGTCAGCTTAAACTGAACATCAGTTCAATGCAGTATGGTTTATTTCAAACAAAAGTGGTTCAGAAATTAAAACCAAATAGCTCTAGATACAAAAGCCTGAATTTGAGCAATTTTTAAAAATAAATTACCAGTATTGTACTTCAGAGACCATCTTCTGAAATAAATTTATTTCAGATTAATACTGGGCCAGAACCTGTTTCCTTGGCAACCAAATCCTGTTAAAAAGTGCAACAGTAGAGATGCAAAGAAGGTTATTCTTGTTTAATGCCATGATGCAAATGTAAATTTAGCTGTTAAGTTACTTTTTGGTTCTAAATGAGAAACTGATCTCATTTTATGTTTCCATGTGATTATCATTTCTTAAAAGACGCCATGTTTGTAAAACTGTGCATATCAGAAAACTGCTTTTTCCTGTTTTTCATTGATTGCTTCCAGAAATGTACCTAAGTACCTTTTTATTTTAAGCAAAGTATGAAGTGCAGTTCAAGGTTTGTGCAGTATTTGTATAAAACAGAAGTTTCGTTATTACTACTGTACAAGTATCACTAAAACGATAAGACAGCTGAGAAATGTAGAGAATAGAAAACGTCCTTAAACCTTCTTTCACAATCACTGAATTTAGTAACAATAGAGCTGCGGACTTTTCACTAAACGGAACCCATTCTGAAGTCCAACCAAAACACAATGTTTAACCATTCTCGAAAAGTACTCGTAGGTGTTGGGATATCAGCAAAGCTCATTTGTGATTTGTTGTAATGTACGGATCCCAGAGATTCTGCACAGTTTGAGTAAATAATTGCTTAGGTAAAACAGCTTGTCTAACATTTTCAACAGTATCTGTAAAATCAAACCCCATCTGTGCTAGAGGAAATTGCTTAGGCAGTCTTAAATTGTGCTCAATGCCTCCATTTAGCTTATAGCCTGGTGTATCTCCTTATGAATCTCCTTGGTATATGATTTGAGAAATACTTACTGCAAAGATATTTTTGCATCACGGTAGCCATTTTCCTTTCATGTCCTTGACTTTAAGTACATTTTATGTGGAAGAGGCTCAAGCACAGAACCATAATCACAGAAAAAATATTGCAAGCTTGGTTCTACTCACAGTTCATGTTAATAAAAATAGCATTAACAGTTTTCACTGCGATATAACTAATTTTAATTTATTTCTAAAGAGATCATGAGTTCAGTGCATTCCCAATAAATATTACTGTTCAGGAAGATGACTTCTATCATCTGTTTTGATAAGCCAGTGCTGAATAATCATTCCAAACCCATTTGATTTATTGACTAGATTAGTTTGATGCAGTACAGTCATTATTTCCCCATTCCATTTAAAGAAACTCGGGTGAAAACATGATAGATTTACCAGTGTATGTTTCAAATGACATTTTAAAGTAGAATTTTTATTATAGCCATAATTTCATTTTCTCTGGTTGCAAGAATTTGATTTACATTTTATCCTTGGAATGTACTGTGCAGCTGGTTCCTCAGTGGTGTTATTAACACTGTTGGTTTTTTCCTTGCATAGTATTATTTTCAAGGAAATTCTAGTTGCTACGGAGCTAAAGCTGAGCAATGGCAATCTGTGTATTATGTTTTAAAATATTTTGAGTATATTGTACCATGTCTCAGCGGGACAGTGGAGACACTGTACAAATAAATTTTTTTTATTATTATTTTATTTTGTCTCTGTGGTTCAAATTAACATACCCATAATGTTTAAAGAATGAAAATCTAATTCTTGGTTACATCAGTATGTTTCAGTCTGGTTGTTTTGACTCCGTTTGCAAATATTCTCTTTTGTCAGAATGTGGATCCTTTTTAAATTGATATTACTGAACTAATAAATGCTGCTTCCCTGGCTTCTGTGAAAATTCATAGTCAGCCTGAGAGCAGCAATTGTTGTGCTGAACATGATGATTCGCTTATTAAGGGGAATTCTATTAATTTATCAAGCTGTTCTGAGTTTACACATCCTACATGAATTGCTGTGTGCGGTTTTAATGGTATGCTTCTAATAAATGGGAGGTGCCCAGATGCTTTCACATTGGGCTTCATGTGTAAATCTTACGTACACCACATACATTTTACTCTCTCTGGCTTTGGTGCATTACCTGATATGCATCTTCTGACTCCTAGCACTGCCGTGTTTTGTTTTTAGCTTTCATATGACCTTATACCAGATAGCTGTAGGATTCCTTAAAGTTGTGTTTTTAAGCTTCATGCTCATCAGAATCTTTG